TTTACTGAGTTGGTGGCCAGTTTCCTTGTTAGCTGCCTCGCCCGACCTGTCCCTGGGCCAGCTCCTGCCTCCCCTGACCACTCAAGGGTATCGCGCTGTCCCCGTTGAAATCCACTCCAAGCACCTGACGCGTAATCTTAGCAAGGTGCTTTATCCTTTGTGAACTTTTTGGTTCTAAAGTCTTTTTCAATTAAGAGAGTTTATGTTTTAGAGCAGTTTTAGGGTCATGGAAACCCTGTGTGTTTTTTTATACCACTTACCCACCACACAAGCCAGAGTGCTACAAATAGCAGGTGCTGAAAAAAGTTGTTGCCTGACAGCGAATCAGGAAGTGATGCAAATCTGAGTGATATAAAGCCACTTACTAGAAGGGAGTGTGTGAAATAAAGTGTCACATCAGTGGCAAGAATGAAAGCCAAATGGACGGTGCAGACCACCCCTCCTACCCCTGCTAGGCAGGTGCCCAGCAGAGTGGCTGTCCATCCCCTAACCTGGGGGCTCCACAAGGGAAAGTCCCCAGGGATGGTGTCCTGAGGCGCCAGCCCCCTCACGGCTCCGTGACAGAGGGACCTCGAAGGGAGGGCCGAGATGCTGGGTGCCCCATTTCTAGAACCCATGCAAACTCTGGCCAGACCAGTGTGCTCTGTTTTTCCCTTGTATTATTTTAGAAACACCCCAGTTTGAAGAACATAACAGTGAGGCTGGGAATCCCACACGGACTCAGACTTCGGCTCCACTTTGGTCACATTCATTCACCCGTGGTCAGCGGGACAGCGGCACTGAGCAAGAGCGCGGCTGCAGGCGTCTGTTCTCAGTCGCAACAGTATTAGCGTCCGTGGACTGGGCGCCTTCCTTGCTCCGAGCTCATGTTACGAGCCCTCTGTACATCGTCTCACTCAGTTCTTGTCCGTGTTACAGATGAAGAAACCGGAGCGCAGGGAGACGAAGCTAGTGAGTGGCACAGCTGGTCGCAAACTCAGCCCTTCTCCCTGCCCGGAGCCCCGAAGTCTCATCACGGCGCACCGAGGCTCCCCTCTGATGGAAGGCACACCACCGTGAGAAGGGAACACCGAAAGCAGGAAGGACTGGGGACACAGGGAGAAGGAGGAGACAGTAGCTCGAGGCCAGGAAGCAGCCGGGGTCTGGAGAAGGCGCACACGGGACAGGCTATGGGTCCAGGAGGCCAGCAGGGCGGGAATGAAGCAGGAACGTGCTGGTGGCCGCCGGAGAAACAAGCCACAAAATATGCAGAAGCCATTTCCTCTCTCAAGGAAGATAAACAATGGATTCATAAACAAATTTTACAAAGCCGTCCAACTATTTAAAGCATTCTGGTAGCAACTCCTATCCTTTGTGAGCATAAAGCTAAATCCCCCCAAAAGTGGTCAACAGTTATTCTGGGGAAAGGAAAGGGACACACTCCTTCCCGGTCTGTCACCTGCCAGCCCTGTGACTGTGTCCTCTCTTCCGCGAGCAAGGAACAGTCATTCCCGTCTCACATGCTAGAGAAAAAATATACCCTACCATATACCCTTGGCCATATACCCTTCTTGACCTTCCCAATTGAAACAACTAACACGCCGGATAAAGTTTTAAATATAAAATTTGTACACACAGTGCTGAGCTGGTACAAACGAAAGGATTCTTCAAAGAACCACAACAAACCGAAAGCAGGAACCTTGGGAGGTCATCTAGCAGCAAAGTTGGCCTTTGCCCTGAGGGTTCCTGCTGAACCCTAGATATTCTGAGTTTCCCATGAGAGCTGCACAGGGTTCAGGAAACAGCAGGGAGAAGCCCGATCCCTCCATCAAGCTGGGACTCCAAAAGGAACAAAGTATAACACAGCAAATCTTTCCTGAAAATCTGACCAAAAACTGGACCTCACACAGGTTTGCAGTTTGAATTCGGTTTACTTCCGTAGCCAGAAAAGCCTTAGGTAGAAAATTAAAGTGATTTTTGGTTGTTAGTGCTCTCAGACAACTAGCAGGCTTTAATGCAAATCCTCTCTGGAAAAAACCACTGTCAACCGGACATCAAATAATTCTCCAAGATGAAGTTGCAACAAAAGCGAGCAGCTCACAGAGACGACGGAAGACAGTAAGGTAGAAGAAACAGCAGACGGCACAGTCAGACCTGCGAAGATTTCAGGTTCTGGAATTACCAGACACGGAACCCTACAATTTCCAAACAGCTACTTCAATACAGTAAAGAGATAGAAAAAGAAATGTGCACTGTGAACAAGAAATGAGAGACCAGAAAATCACCAAGCAGATTTGAAAAATGATGAGCCGGAACCTCTAGAAGCGATAAAGGAACTGAAAGGGAAAATAATTCAATGGATGGATTAGATAGCATTTGAGACGCAGAATAAATTGGTTAAATGGATGACAAATTTGAAGAAATGATTCAGAGTTCACAGAGAGACCGAGATTAAAAATGTGAAGTAGAGGGTAAGCAGTCCAGGGACTAGCATGAGAAGGTCTACCATAAGGAAGAGGAGATATTAGAATGGGGAAGAGGTGACATTCAAAGAAGAAAAGGGTGAGAATTGTTTCAGAATTGTTGAAAGACACCCATCTTCAGATCTAGGAATCCCAACGTACCCATGCAGAATAAGAACAGAAATTCACACCCAGTTCCATGACAGTGAAGCCACGGAACAGAGAGAAACGCCAGGTCAGCCATAAAGAACGGCAATCAGACTGACAGCCAACTTCTCAATGGCAACACTTAGAGCCAGAGGCAGTGGATGAACAGCTCCAATGACCTGAGAGAACAGAGCCAGGAAAGCTACCTTTCAAAACTGAGAGCAGAATAAGATATCATCAAACCAACAAAAAGAAAAACCCAAACCAAACCAGAAGAGAAAAGACTTGAGACCCTGTTACCCAATAGTCTTTCACTGAAGGATAATGCTAAAAGATTTACATTGGGGGAAGGAGCATGATCTCAGATTCATGAAAGTATGGTGAGAAAAGACACTGATAAGCACATGGGTACATCTATACAAATCTGCATAAAACAATGTCTCACTCGTAGCGGGAAACGGGATAGAATGAAAACACAGGATACTAACTTTACACAAATTGGGAGAGGCAGTGTATAGTTCCTGCATCGTTTGGGAGGAAGGTAATACCAGACACTGGTTAATTTTAGACTTTGTTAAGTATGCCTGTTAAAATAGCTGTGTAACCACTGAAAGAACAGATGCAGAGAATATAACTTCCGAGTCAGAAGATGGAACGTAGAATGAGAGATGGAAACACCTCAACCTAAAAGCAGGCCCAGCCGGTGTGGTTCAGCAGTTGAGCGTCAACCCACACACCAAGAGGTTACTGGTTCGATTCCCGGTCAGGCCACATGCCCAGGTTGTGGGCTCAATCCCCAGTGGGGGGCATGCAGGAGGCAGCTGATTGATGTTATCTCTCATCGATGTTTCTCTGTCTCCTTCTCCCTTCTTCTCTCTCTAAAATTAATAAAGAAAAAGCAGAAAAAATGGGAAGTATATCAAGATGGTAGAAATGAATCCCAGTTCAGCATTAAGATACACCTCGTCTAAACATCTGTGCAGCCAACAGCATCGCCTTAAAATGCATAAAGCACAATGTTCGGTGCTGCGAGGAGAAACAGACAAGTCCAGGGGGAGATCTGTGCACATGTCTCTTAATAATCGACAGATTAACCAGACAAAAAGGGAAAAGAACACATTACAGATGAGTTGAACGGTACAGTGAATTAACTTTGAGGCTCATATACAGAAAACTATACTCAATAATCAGAGAATACACATTCTTTTCACTCATGGAACATTTAAGAGAAAAAGTAGAAAAAGATAAAATATCAACAGGGAACACAGAAGTGGCTTAGTGCTTATTTCAAAATCTCTCTAAGAATTTAAACCTATTTTGTCTTAAAAAAGAGACTTCGTCTTTCCTGTTTCACAGATGTGTCTCTAGCACAGTGACGGTCACAAAGGCGGCTCTCAATACATACAGAAGTCCTCACTGAATGTCATCGATAGGGTCTGCGACTTTAAGCAAAATGACGTAAAATGAAACCGACTGTACCAAAGGCTCACGGATACAAACAACAGTTGAGTTGCTGCAGCATCCCATCAAGGTTATACTGAAACAGCATTGAACAAAATGCTGCTGTTTGAGGACCAGCTGTACAAGGAAGAGTGAACGAAGGATCTCTGTCGAGAATCGCCCAGGTGAGCAACTGTAGGTAATGAAGTCCTTTCCCACGTGGAGGGGAACAGAAGGACCAGGTGAGTGGCGCCAGTCTCTAGGGAGAATTTATATAAAAAAGGAAAGGAGTCTGACAGCTTTCTTCAAACCCAAGGAGAGGCACATGGAAAAGCAGGGAAGGACAGAAATTACAGAGAGAAAGAATTTGACCCAGTATTCTCTCGCGCTCGTCCCTCAAGACATGTATCAGTTTCCCTCTTTCTCCAAAGCTCCAAGGGCACTTCTACTCTGTAACTTTCTAAATAAACTTTCCTTTGTAATTTGAAAAAAAAAAAAAAAGTTCCAACAATTCACTGTCTAACATTGGCTGGGAAATGGCCTGGCTGATCCTCTAAGGCCCTTTACAACCCTGTGTGGGACAGGAATTTCTATCCAGAATGTTCTAGGAGGCCCAGACCACAGACTGGCCATCTTTCCAATGCCACCTTATTCCAGAGATCCCTTCACTCCCAGATCCCTCGATCCCCAGTCCCTAAAGATCTGCCCAAGATCCCAGTTCAGAAGGTAGGGGAGGAATAATGAGAGCTTCAGTCCCCAGAAACTCAGTTCAGGGTCCCACCTGCTCCACCATCAGCCTCTCCATGAATGAGCAAAATGAGCACCTTCTGCCCCGCTGGCTGACACCCACTTTCTAAGTCCACCCATGTCCCAGGCAACGCCATTTATCCAGCACATGGCGATGGATTACAAAAGCACATAGAATCACTTAAAATGAACATTCCTAAGCTTCCGGAAGGAAAGCAAGCTCACCTTGACCTCCGCAGCAGATGGCTGAGTTGGGGGCCTGGCTCTGGGGGCTTCTCCTGCGGCCGGCCGGTCATGCTGCTCTCATGCTGCTGGGCAGGTGGGAAGAGGAGACCTGGTTCTGGGGCAAAAAGAGAAGGAAAGGTCACTTCTTCACCGTTTGCTCCTAGCTTTCCATGACCAGCCTGCAGAGGACACTATCCAAAAGCCCTGGGAGTCCCCGAGGCCGGCCTCACCCACTCTCGTGTCGTTGGGGAGCGGACAGGCCTGTGCTGGACATTTTCCCACGCCCTCCAGTGTGCCAGGCAGGGCTTTAAGGAATGAGGCTGCGAAGATGAACCACAGTCCCTACTCTCAGGAAACAGTCAAGACAGAGACAGAGACGTGTTTCATTGTAATATTACGTGGTAAGAGCTGTCATTTCCCCAAATTCATTCAACAGCCTACTGTCCCACAGGGGAGGGGGGCAGAACTGCTGGTCCAAGCCGGTTTGGCTCAGCGGTTGGAGCCTCGGCTTATGGACCAGAGTCTTGGGTTCGATTCCAGTCAAGGGCATGTACCTCAGTTTTGGTTCGGTCCCTGGCCCTGGTCGGGGTTGTGCAGGAGGCAGCCAGTCGATGTGTCTCTTTCACATCAATGCGCCCCCCCTCCCCCCATTTGAAGATAAATGGAACAATATCTTCAGGTAAGAATTAAAAAGAAAATGAACTGCTAGAAAAAGTGAAAAAATATTCACATTCAAGCAGAAGCCTACTTTTTTTTTTATATCCTCACTTGAGGACATTTTTCCATTTTTTGTTCAGATAGAGTGGAAGGGAGAGAGAGAGAGAAACATAGACATGAAAGGGACACATCGAGTGGCTGCCACCCGCACAACCCAACCAGGGCCGGGGACAAACGGCAACCGAGGTACCTGCCCTTAGCAGGATCCGAACCTGGGTCTCTCTGGACCGCAGGCCGACACTCTAACCGCTGAGCCAAACCAGCCAGGGCACAAGCCTACTTTTTAACTGTTCGATTCAACTGATGACCTTGTCGCACGTGAAAGTTTCGAAGTGCCTACTCCCAATTTCTGCGCTTTCGTTGTGACCGAGGAAGCTTGCAGACCATCCCCTGAACCATCGCTGAGTAGCATCACGATAGTAAAAGTTTATCAGATGCAACTTTCCTAAGGTGTCTGGCTGATCTTGGTTCAGAGAGGGTGGTTGGAAATAAAAATGAAGTTGAATTAACCCTCCAGACTACTATTCCGCGAGTTCATCAAGTCTCTCTCCAGGAAGGAGAGCCACGGAGGGACTCTGGGAAAGTGTGTCTTTAGGGGGACAGACAGAGGCAGCGGGTTCAGGTAAGAAGAGCAGATGTCTCAAGGAACCTGGTCAGAGCTGTGCCTGGAGCCCTGTCCTGCTCCATCTGGACTTTCAACCCTAACTGTGACAACCCCAGCCCTGAACATACATCACTTCCAACATGTCAAGGGAGCTGCTAGTATTCATTCCTTCTATTTAATGCTATAAAAATGATTTTTTTTTTTAATTGAGAAATCCTTTGTCTGTGACAGGAGGCTCCAAAAAAAAAAAAAGCTGTTGAGTGCCTGTTGCCTTAATACTTGAGGGAGAGATTACAAGTCATTTCCACCCATTTGAATGTTTGAGAGAAAGTGCTCACTCCCTCTAAACTCAGCTTTTAAGTAGTTCTTATTTTAAACTTTACAAGACGATAACTCTGCAGAAGAAAATTCTTTTCAAAGTCCTTTTTTTAAGAAATGCAAACACACATACACTCTCACTCCCGGCTTCAAATGCTAAATCATCTGCAATTTGGGAGTTTGTTGCTCGTGAAATTCCAGCGATAAGCACATCATAAACATTCCTATGGCTACAAATGCTTTTGATGCGACGGCTATGATGTTACGAAGATTATATAGCATTATCTCTGAATGTTGGTGCAGAGAAGGTTATGGAAATAACTATTTATGTACAAATAAGCCAGTATAGTAACTGGCAACCTGAACAGCAGACCGTGGCACGGGGTGGGAAGCGGGAGCCAGCTCGCCCAGCCTCCTTCCTCCAGCATGGGAAAGTAACTCTCCAAGGTTCCCACAGCAGCGGGAGTCCTTGGAACTCATCTCAAGGACAAGCGCTGTGCTTAGACAACCACTTGGTCACCTTTTATTTGTCAGGTGCTGGGCCGGGTCGTAGGGTTCTCAAGACAAGCTCTTCCTTCTTCCAAGAGGCCCAAGAGAGACATATAAACAGATAATTATAATTCTTCAGCCCTGCTAAGAAGAGTCTTTTGGCCAAAGTGAAGGGAAACGAAAGGAAGGGAAGGTAACTCGCTCACTCCACCTATCCAACCAACCATTCATCCATCCAATGTTGGCCGAGTGTCTAGTACATACCAGGCAAGTACAAGGGGCCAGGCCAAAAGACCAACATGGGCCCTGCCTTCATGGAGCGTATAGTCTAATGGGGGAAATCAACATTAATAGGTTAAAAATAACGGTAACTCTGTAACTATAACAGTGATGTGCTCTCAAAAAGTATGGCTACTGCTATAATAGCACATTACAGACACAGCATGGAAAAGGGTCAGCGGTCCTTCCCAAGGAACCAGTCTTCAATCTGAGCCCAAGAAGAAACTGGTGAAACAAAACAGGGAGGGCGGCAGAGACGAGACAGAGAAGGTGAATAGCCTGTGCAAAGGTCCTGGAACAAGATGCACGGCCCGCTGTAGCTACGAGAGGAGGCTCTAACAGGATCAAACAGGTTCTGGACCTTACACCATGTTTCTGTCGCCATCGCATTCGAGGCAAGCATCGAAGATGTGCAGGGTTGTCAAAAAGTGCCTGAGCCGATACCAGGAAAAGAAGGTGATATCTGCTCACGTCTCCCTCATCCTAGGCTGGCGAAAAGCATCCACTTTGTAAGGAGTTTTGGGACCATCTACGTTCTCTTCAACAGCAATAACCTGGCTAAATCCAGTGTGGCCCACAGTGGTAAAAACCAGTCGGTCAACGCCGACATAACACTGACAGTGAGTGTGGGTTTGGGGATGCAGACAAGCATTCTCTTATTAAAATTATTGCTGGAGAATTATTGCTGGAGAAGTCTCACGATGTATGTTACTTGACAGAAGGTCATACATTTAATGCACAGAACATGAGCTTTGGGGACAAGCAGACTTGTGTTCAAATCTGACCCTGTCCCTCCGTGGCCATTCTTCTGTAAAACAGGGTTAAGCAATGCCTTCTCTGCAGTGGTCCCAGGGACCTGAGCACACCGCCTAGCTCCCAGCAGGCCTTGGACAAGTGGCCGCATTACTATCACCTCACAACAGTGGGTGGGGACATCCATGCCTCTCCTTTGATTTGAGTATTAACAGAAACCCATGAAATGATTTCCCATCTAGTACAAGGGCTTAACGGCAGCTTTGCAAGGGCTCAGGGGTCAGCCACCACTGACCAAGGGGCCATTTCTCGGTGAGTGCCCCGAAGGGACCCCAGCTCTGCACCAGGGCTGTCCCTCACTGAGTCACACCTCACTGTCCCCAGAAGCAACCTCCCCAGAAGAATCCAGAAGGCAGGGTCTTCCCACTGACCCATCCTGCTGTCTGGGACTCAGTTTCCCTTCTGCACACTGGTGGTGAACAATGCTGCCTTACACACCACACTGTTGTTAAAGTTCAGGGGGAAATGAAGATTTAGGAGTCTTAGGAAGGGAAAAAATTAATATTTAATTGTAATTTAACACTTGAAATGGGTACCGAGGGGCCCAAACCAAAAAGGAAGGGTTCTCCTCAGCCACAGGGCAGTTTTAATTAAAAGAACAGCTCACAGGTCACCAGACCAGGGGGAGAGTACAGCCAAAGTACCAGGATGAAACGGTGGAGCCTCTGAAATGGGAGGCAGGGCCAAATGAACTGTAAGAATTCCCCATGCCACCCACAGTACATTAGAAGTTGGCACAGGTTTTTAAAAGCAGGAAAAGGAGGAGAGGGAAGAGAAAGAAAATGAGGAGGAAGAGTTAAATGTAGATTTAATCTAAGAACATGAAGAAACAGCGGGGAGTCCTGGCCGGTTTGGCTCAGCGGTTAGAATGCCGGCCTGCGGTCCGGAGAGACCCAGGTTCGGTTCCCGCTAAGGGCATGTACCTTGGTTGCAGTTTGTCCCCGGCCCTGGTTGGGTCGTGTGGGTGGCAGCCACTTGATGTGTCCCTCTCACATTGATGTTTCTCTCTCTCTCTCTCTCTCTCTCTCTTCCTCTCTCCCCCTCCCACTCTATCTGAACAAAAAGTGGAAAAATGTCCTCGGGTGAGGATAAAAAAAAGGAAACAGCAGTGAGAGTAAACAATGCAGTGAGAAATCTGAGACTCCACTCACTTGGGGACCAACCATTCTGTCCATTGAGTTCTATGTAGAGATGATGGTGACCTGGAATAAAACCTAATTTTTTTTTTATCCTCACCCAAGGACACTTTTCCATTTTTTTGTTCAGATAGAGTGGGAGGGAGAGAGAGGAAGAGAGAGGGGGAAACATCGATGTGAAAGGGACATACTGAGTGGCTGCCTCCTGCATGACCCAACCAGGGCCGGGGACAAACTGCAACCAATGTACATGCCCTTAGTGCGAACCGAACCTGGGTCTCTCTGAACCACAGGCCAATGCTCTAACCACTGAGCCAAACCGGCCAGGGCAAACCTAATTTTCAAATGAGACACCCCTCCCCCAACAGCCAGGGAGACCAGAAAGCTTTTTGGATGCAGGGAAAACTCCCAACTCCTCTCCAAACATCTCTCCTCTTCTTTGCTGGCCCATTCCCACTCCATGGCGGTTGGGCAAAGAATAATTTTCATGTACTGGAAGAGAGGATTCCTGCCTAGCTCATTACGAGACAGAGGCAGACCACTTGCTTTTTTTGCAGCTGGCTATTCCAGAACACAGAAGCTGGGCCATTCACATCAATATGACAGCAGTCCACACATTGGGAGCACATCAGATGGACTCATTGTGTAGGCAGACAATGGATGGCAGGCCACCATCCACTCTGAAACTTCCTCTGGCCTCTCATCCCTTTGCTCGCATTCCCAACAAGCTGGTCTTTCGGGTCTTCACACACTCTAAAC